CTTTTTTTATTGCTATAACAATACTAGCTGTGGTCACAGTGACCTACTTACCACAATCTATTTCATCAGAATAATCTCCACAATCATCATCTCCATCACATTTCCATCTGTTACTAATGCATTTACCATTGTTGCAGAAAAAGCTTCCTAAAAATAGAAAGAAGAATAAAATTCCATACTTTATATGTCTAATTTTATTAAAAACAAGCAAATTTTATTGCTGTTAATATTTTGAGAGCATTGTTAATATAAACTTGAATTGAAGCTCAGATACAAATGAATCGATCATTATGCAGCCATGTCTAACCAACCAAGGTATCTTCCAATTTCAGGCAATTCCTTGTTGTTTTTCTATGTTTGTACATCTTATTTTCTCGTCAAAGTAGGGTGTTAGTTAGTGTCATCTTTTGAACTGTCCAGTTTTCTTAGTAAATAAACAATATTTGTACATTGTAGGAAAATATAAAGTATATTTGTATAAGCTTTAGAAAAAGAAAGAAAAGAAAGGCTTGCAGAGCTCTTTTATTACTAAGCAGTACAAATGAATTATATTTTCTACATTATAATATAATATAAAATATCAATTTACAAACAATGTTTCTTATTCCCTTGCTTTAATAACTAAACACAACATAAACATTGACAAACAATACACCTTATCGCTATTTGGAAATCTGCGCCACTTGACACGAGAATCTGCGCCGCTTGAACTTTTGACGTCATACAACAATCACTTTTCCATTGTGGCGTTTGATATTGTCTATTGTGACAAAATTCTACGGGAACAATAATAATAATGGAATAATATTTGGTATTTACTGTTTCTAAAGATGATTCTTCATATTTTGAATTTGCTCCAATGAAAAAATAAGCCTATTTCGTCCAATCAAAATAAAAGTATCTTAGCCAGAACCTCACAAGGATATCTCACTTACACATCTGGATTAATGGGTGAAGCAGATATTAAGATTGATTATTTGATAAAAGCAAGACAAGTGATTTTGCTTGTCTAATAAATTTTTGTGCATTTCTTTAAATGAATAGACTTGTGGGACAAACAATCTTACTAGCCAATCAGAAAATGTCTGTTTATGGTTGGGCTGCCATCTTCATTATAGTATTGAAACCAAAATAATGCAAATTTCATCCAACCCTAAAAAGAATGATTCCAATACAGGAGTTTCTGTTTCAAAAAAATAACAGTTGACTAACAATAGACAGTCAAATCAGATGATGGTTAAGCCAAGTCATTTAATAATAATTTGGTGTTTAACATGGCCTTACCTGATGGACATGAGTTGCGTTCACATATAAATGCCAATTTCTGTTCACATCTTCCAAGCTGCCATTTGTGCTGTCCATTATTAAAGATCAGGTAGACACAGTCTCCATTGGCAATGTTGGGACTTTTGTCAGCCCAGTACCCTTCATATCTTGATGCAGTGACTGCTCCAGTTACAGAATTCCATCTTGCCGAGTTAGCATCAGTGTCAGGAATATTAATACGATTAAATCCTGAAAAAATGTCATACACTACAGTATTAAAGTGAAGTTCTAAAGAATGCCAATAGATTCCAATCACAAAAGCAAACTATTTCAGGGTCATGTAATCTAATAGTACAGTGAAACTTCTCAAAACTGGGCCGCCCACAGAAAACGGCCAGTTTGCAGGGATGGACAGTTGAAAATTAAAATCTTAAAGAGTTACTTCCCTTCAATATGTGTGTTTGAGTATATTTGAAAATGTATTTTACCTTTATCAAAATATATATCTTTCATTGTGAATTTTAGTTTTGTATATATTATATGGATCAGTGATTTTATATGACAAGGCCAGTTTTATGAGGTTAAATTTTATTGATTTTGATAAACTAAATACAAAAATACTGGTAGTTTTATAAGGTTACATGACCATTTATTTGAATACAAATCGCGTTAATCGGCCGGAACTTCTGGAATTGGCCGGTATTACGGGAGAACGGTATTCAGAGGGACCGGTTTAGAGAAGTTTCACTGTATATCATATTTAGTTATTGACTTCCAGAGAAAGGTGCTATAAAGCTGAACTTGATGAAGTTTTGTTTGTTTGTTATTTGTCTTATTTGGATTGTTGTACGCTTTACTGAGTCATAATACTGTTATCTTATATGAAATGAAATATTTAACTGACATAAATTAATGACCAGTCTGGACGGCTGAAAGTGACGACATTTCAAAAGATGACAATGGCTTTCATATTTGAACTTGAACATGTAAAAGGCATTCTTATTGCCCAGTGACCCTGGGCAAACACAGCTGTGTTGGTTGAGCCCAAATACTAAGGAGACTAGAACTTCCCATATAGTTAAGTGTCCGACCCCCTGGTAACTTTGGTTTTGCATTATTCAGGTGCTGTGTCATTAATTTGTATGCAACATCTCCATTCATTCAAACATTAAATTTAATCCAAAAAAATACTGTAAATGTTTTGAGTTGAAAGGATCCTGTTTTTTTCAAGAATCAAACATTAAATTTAATAAAAAAAAAATACTGTAAATGTTTTGAGTTGAAAGGATCCTGTTTTTTTTAGAAAACTTATTTGGACACAGTTTAAAGGTGAAAAGACATATACTTGGTGAGCTGTCAATTATTTTACTACCAAGTGAAACAAACAATTGAATAGTGGTTGAATAGAACAGAAAAATAAGATAATTGGTATATAATCAAAATCATACAATAAATTACTTTTAAAATTATTAAATGTATGATCAAAATATAGAAACCTGTCCAAACTGATGTGATTTTAGAATTCTGCTTTTTCAAGAATTCCATGACTTCCTTGCCATCATAATAGTCTTTAATTGTTACTAAATGTGAACCAGTCCTGTCAATAGAAAAACAACACAAATTTGTTTAGAATTATAATTCTTTAACAGCTTTTCTTGAACAAATTACCAGATATAATATTTTCAAGTATTAAGATTTACAAAAATTAGAATGAAAAACCCAAAAATGTCTATTAATTCACATCCATAGCTACTGACATTATTTATACAAAACCTTTCTTTTATCCATTTATAAATTAAGAAATTATTAGCAAACTAAGGTTTCAATTCCCTCATGCAAAGTTCACCTTAGATGGATTTGGCTATTATTTTCAAGTCATTTTTGGTCATCAAACTTTTCAATTGTTTCGGTTCTTATACATCCTTGGCTTCAAATAGTCGGCTATGAGAGTTCCTGATGAAGTTAATTTCAGAAATGTACTTCCGATGCATAAAACTTATATAGTGTTGTATTTATTTTTTAAAACCCTGGTCAACATTGCTGCTGGTGGACTATCAGTCTCAGAGAGTAGCATCAGCTTAGTAGCCAGTACCAACATGATTTATAACAAACCTTTCTTAAATTGTCCGTTTATAAATACAGAAATTGTTAAGAAAATAAGGTTTAAACTACCTCAGGCGAAGTTAACCTTAGATGGATTTGGCTATTATTTTTAGGTTCTTTTTGGTCTTATAGCTCTTCAATTGGTTGGGTTCTTCAACATCCTTGGCTTTCAAATACATGTAATTGGCTTTGAGCATTTCTGATGACAGCATTTGCAGGACAATATCACCATTTATTTAAATATTCTAGAAGTTTGAAATGCTTAGCAAATAAACAAAACAAAATATTTTTTTTATATATATCTGACAAGACTAATGTCTGCAAACATCTGAAGGAAGTTATTTAAAAATATTTATTACTATCCACTTTGAAAAGCAAAAATGCGGCCTTATCATGCATTCTCCTTTGAGAGCCAGGGCTAGTGTTATTATTTTTAATCGAAATTTCCTTAAATTTATAAAAAAGCTATGAAACTTAGTGAGTTGTACTGGGTCAAATACTGTTTTAGCTCACCCTTGACAAATCCGTAATGCACTCTCCCAAGTCTGTTTCTCTGTGTCCGGAAATAAACGATAACATGACGTAACATGAACATCCCATCCTGTCAACATATGAAAATATTACTTATATTCTATGAAACAAAAATTCCCATGTTATTGAATAAATAATCCTAAAAGGAACAAGAAGGAATCAGAGATGTTTTTTTTATCTGATTCTATGAATTTAACCCCACAAAAATGAACATCAACAAAAAGTAGATGTGTTTGCACGCCAGGTATACCCCCAACCTGGAGATAAATACAATCTATAAATGTACATTTCTGGTCATTCATATCAAAGATGAGGTATACTAGGGACATACACTGGCAACACTGTGTTCATGGGTTTATAGTGTGGCTAAGATGGTGAAATCTGTAAAAATAACTATGACATTTTTAAGATAAGTCAGTCAACAGGAACGACAAATGTTGATGACCAGAAACAAAATTAAAATTAGTTTCTGCTAAAAATAACTAAGTTATGATTATACACTTATGTATCAAAATAAAACACTCCAGATCTGCAGGAATTGCAAAATAATTCCCAGCAAGTAAAAATTTCATAAAAAGTCAAAGGGCCATAATTGTAAGAACTAGAGGCTCTAAAGAGCCTGTGATGCTCACCTAGGTTTATGTGCATCTTCAAAATTGGGCACTCTCCAACAGTGGACTAGAATAGAATTCATGACAAAAATATCTTTTTTGTTGATCTAGTATTGCTTATAATATTTTCTGTTTACAGTTTCTCTTCATCTTCTTTAAGTTTTTTCCCAAAACACAAAAAAGGGTAAAAAACATTTGTCATTTGAGGGCAATCACACCTATCAACAAGAGTCTACAAACAATTTTAGCAAAATTTTAATCATTAGTAGATCTTGTCTTGCTGATCATTTTTGCTATTAAAAGTGTTTATTTATCTATTACAGTTTTCAAGATAATAGGCAAAAACACTAAAAATGGATAAAAATCTTCATTAAGAGCAATTACTCAACTGACAATTTGAGCTATGAATCTTACTTGTAGATCATGTCTTGCTGATCACTTTTGCTTTTTAAAGTTTTTATCTAGATATTAGGCAAAAATGCAAAACAAGTGTGCACACGCTGAAATGTCTCGCCTTCTTTACTAATCATTGATATTATGTTGATAGTCCTAAATATAAAGCTTTACTACAACTATCACATACACTTAACATGATCCAAGAAAATGAGGTCAAGGTCATATAAACCAAACAAGAAATACATGTACACCTTACAATCATTCAATACACTAAATATAGTTGACCTATTGTTTATAGTTTCTAAGATACAGACTTAACCAAGAAAACTAAACATTGACCAATGAACCAAGAAAATGAGGTCAAGGTCAGATGAACAATGCCAGGCAGACATGTACTACAGCTTGCAATCCTTCCATACAACAAATATAGTTGACCTATTGCTTATAGTATTAGAAAAACAGACCAAAACACAAAAACTTAACACTGAGCAATGAACCGTGAAAATGAGGTCAAGGTCAAATAAAACCTGCAAGACTGACAGGTACATCATAAAATATTTCCATACACCAAATATAGATGACCTATTGCATATAGTATTAGAAAAAAAGACCAAAACTCAAAAACTTAACTTTGACCACTGAACCATGAAAATGAGGTCAAGGTCAGAAGACACCTACCAGCTAGACATGTACACCTTACAATCATTCCATACACCAAATATAGTAGACCTATGGCATACAGTATAAGATAAACAGACCAAAACACAAAAACTTAACTATAACCACTGAACCATGAAAATGAGGTCAAGGTCAGATGACACCTGCCCGCTAGACATGTACACCTTACAATCATTCCATACACCAAATATAGTAGACCTATGGCATACTGTATAAGAAAAACAGACTAAAACACAAAAACTTAACTATAACCACTGAACCATGAAAATGAGGTCAAGGTCAGATGATACCTGCCAGTTGGACATGTACACCTTACAGTCCTTCCAAACACCGAATATACTAGACCTATTGCTTATAGTATCTGAGATATGGACTTGACCACCAAAACTTAACCTTGTTCATTGATCCATGAAATGAGGTCGAGGTCAAGTGAAAACTGTGTGACGGGCATGAGGACCTTGCAAGGTACGCACATTCCAAATATAGTTGAACTATTGCATATAGTATTAGAAAAAAAGACCAAAACTCAAAAACTTAACTTTGACCACTGAACCATGAAAATGAGGTCAAGGTCAGATGACACCTGCCCCGCTAGACATGTACACCTTACAATCATTCCATACACCAAATATAGTAGACCTATGGCATACTGTATAAGAAAAACAGACTAAAACACAAAAACTTAACTATAACCACTGAACCATGAAAACGAGGTAAAGGTCAGATGACACCTGCCAGCTGGACATGTACACCTTACAGTCCTTCCATACACTGAATATACTAGACCTATTGCTTATAGTATCTGAGATATGGACTTGACCACCAAAACTTAACCTTGTTCATTGATCCATGAAATGAGGTCGAGGTCAAGTGAAAACTGTGTGACGGGCATGAGGACCTTGCAAGGTACGCACATACCAAATATAGTTGAACTATTGCATATAGTATTAGAAAAAAAGACCAAAACTCAAAAACTTAACTTTGACCACTGAACCATGAAAATGAGGTCAAGGTCAGATGACACCTGCCCGCTAGACATGTACACCTTACAATCATTCCATACACCAAATATAGTAGACCTATGGCATACAGTATAAGAAAAACAGACTAAAACACAAAAACTTAACTATAACCACTGAACCATGAAAATGAGGTCAAGGTCAGATGACACCTGCCAGTTGGACATGTACACCTTACAGTCCTTCCATACACCGAATATACTAGACCTATTGCTTATAGTATCTGATATATGGACTTGACCACCAAAACTTAACCTTGTTCACTGATCCATGAAATGAGGTCGAGGTCAAGTGAAAACTGTCTGACAGGCATGAGGACCTTGCAAGGTACGCACATACCAAATATAGTTATCCTATTACTTATAATAAGAGAGAATCTAACATTACAAAAAATCTTAACTTTTTTTTCAAGTAGTCACTGAACCATGAAAATGAGGTCAAGGACATTGGACATGTGACTGACGGAAACTTCGTAACATGAGGCATCCATATACAAAGTATGAAGCATCCAGACCTTCCACCTTCTAAAGTATAAAGCTTTTAAGAAGTTAGCTAACGCCGCCGCCGCCGGATCACTATCCCTATGTCGAGCTTTCTGCGACAAAAGTCGCAGGCTCGACAAAAAATGGGTAAAAATCATCATTAAAGGGCAATAATTCCAATAAGTCGACTGAAGATTTCAGCCATTTGACTTCACTTTTGATCTCATCTTGCTGATCATTTTTGCATATCTAAGTTTTTTCTATCTATCATAAGTTAAGAAGATAAAAGGCAAAAAGCAAAAAAAATGGCAAAAATCATTGTTAAAGGGCAATAACTCCAATAAGGAGTCATCAGATTATTTAGGCTATGTAATTACGACTTATTTGTAGATCTTGTCTTGCTGATCACTTTTGCTGTTTAATGTTTCTCTCTTTCTATAATAGTATTTAAGGATAGGCCAAATTGAAAAAAAACTTGGTAAAATTCATTAATTAAGGGCAATAACTCTTATATGAAGTCATCTGACAGTTTTATTGTAAATGAACAATCTGCAGATTTTAATCCTATCGGATTTTCTCTATTCATAGCAGTTTTCAAGATAATAGACAAAACTTGCATTTTACCCTACATGTTCTATTTTTAGCCATGTCTGCCATGTTGGTTGACAAGTGTGGTCATAGGACACATTTTTTTAAAACTAGATACCTAATGATGATGGTGTCCAGTAGTTTCCGAGGAGAAGATTTTTGTAAAAGTTAACAGACAACCATGGACGACAGATGCCAAGTGATGAGAAAAGCTCATGTGGCTCATTGGGCCAGGTGATCTAAAAATGGGTCAACTAGAATGAAACGAAAACTGTAAGTCTTCATTGCACAATAATGCATCAAAAATCAAATCCAGATCTGTAGGCATTACAAAATGTAGTCACAGCTATAATTTACAAAGAAATTTTCAGCTGCTATTATTCTGATAAAAGTTGGTCAAATACCGTAGAGTGAAATGTAAATTTGATTAGAAAGTCTTCATTATACACTAATTTACCAAAAAACCAGATCACTATGAAACCCATTATAAAAAGACTTGATAACTGTTGGATTTCAGAAGGACCAAAGTACTAAGGATAAACACGCATGGTAGCACTATATAACATGGCATCTCAACAGCGGGGTCATAAAAATCAAGCCCCTTTTACCATGACAAACTTGAATTATAACCATGTGATAACACTGTAAACTGACAATATGTTCTGAAAATGTTAGAAGATATCACACATTTAAGAAGATATCCCTTCTTTGTGATAATGATTACAAAATGAAAAAATTCTGTCTATTATTGAAATTAGGTGGTTAAGTCAGTTGTTTACATATCAATATAAATCTGTAATTAAATGACTGCTTGTATTTCATTTGAGACGCAGATTTAGTTAAAATTATCGTATTTAAGGAGCTCCTTGCCATCTATAAGTCTTTAAAATATGATGACCTTATCTCAGTAACTCTCGACTTCCTCCAGACCTTTGAAATGGTGAGGACAAATTGATCAATTCTGATATCATCATAGACATGGTATTTTTATCTAATATAACCTTTTCTGTGAACAACAATGGAATGGACTTCACAAGTTCTCGAATAGTGGTGGTCTTGACCACCAAAAAGTTTTCCAAAGGACCAACTCAATTTCAGTATTTTGCAATAGAAATAATAGCGCAGACCAGCAGATTTTCTTCAAGGGTCACCAGAGAAAAACTTATTTGAAATATTTCCAAATAATAATCTATCTCTCTATAACTTACCTTCTGGACAAATGAATTTGATTTCATCCTAAAATAAAAAAAAAGAAATGTGAATACGATAATTTTTATAAGGAGATGAAGGAAATATGTAAAGGAGACAGATACCTAACAACAAAAACAAGCATTCTGTGAGTATTGCATGGCAATACATAGTCCCCTACAGGTTACAAATTCATTGTAATGGAACAAAATTCTAACTTGATCTATAACTTGTCATGGTGTAAACTACATAAAAATATCAAGTCAAAATCTTCAAGCATGAAGAAAAAAACTGTTGAAAACTGATTATTTAAGTGAATTTTCTATGTCCAAAGACCATAACTCTGCACAAAATTATCAGACTGGAACAAAATTCCAACTTGATCTGTAACTTGTCATGATAAAGCTATATACTAATTATCAAATCAATATCTTAAACAAGAGTGCACACGCTGAAATGTGTCGCCTTCTTTACTAACCATTGATTTTATGTTGATAGTCCTAAATATAAAGCTTTACTACAAGTAACACATAAACTTAACATGATCCAAGAAAATGAGGTCAAGGTCAGATAAACCAAACGAGAAATACATGTACACCTTACAATCATTCAATAAACCAAACATAGTTGACCTATTGCTTATAGTTTCTAAGAAACAGTCTTAACCAAGAAAACTTAACATTGACCAATGAACCATGAAAATGAGGTCAAGGTCAAATGAACCATGCCAGACAGACATGTACACCTTACAATCAATTTATGCATTAAATATAGTTGACCTATTGCTTATAGTATCTAAGAAACAAACTTAACCATGAAAACTTAACATTGACCAATGAACCATGAAAATGAGGTCAAGGTCAGATGATACCTGCCAGACAGACATATACACCTTACAATCCTTCCATACAACAAATATAGTTGACCTATTGCATATAGTATTAGAAAAAAAGACCAAAAACTCAAAAACTTAACTTTGACCACTGAACCATGAAAATGAGGTCAAGGTCAGATGACACCTACCAGTTGGACATGTACACCTTACAATCATTCAATATACCAAATATAGTAGACCTACTGCTTATAGTATCTGATATATGGACTTGACCACGAAAACTTAACCTTGTTCACCGATCCATGAAATGAGGTCAAGGTCAAATGAAAATTGTCTGACGGGCATGAGGACCTTGCAAGGTACGCACATACTAAATATAGTTATCCTATTACTCATAATAAGAAAGAAATTAACATTACAAAAAATGTTGACTTTTTTTTCAAGTAGTCACAGAACCATGAAAATGAAGTCAAGGACAATGGACATGTCATATGACAGACGGAAACTTCGTAACATAAGGCATCTATATACAAAGTATGAAGCATCAAGGTCTTTTAGCTTCTAAAATATAAAGCTTTTAAGAAGTTAGCTAACGCCGCCGCCGCCGCCGCCGTATCACTATCCCTATGTCGAGCTTTCTGTGACAAAAGTCGCAGGCTCGACAAAAATGACCAACAAGCCTACCACTAAATTCTTCAAACAATTTACCAAAGAAAAGGAAAAAAATCCAAAATGTCATTTTGTCTTTTAACAAGAGTGCACAGGCTGAAATGTCTCACCTTCTTTACTAACCACTGATGTTGATAGTCCTAAATGAAAGCTTTACTACAACTATTACATAAACTTAACATGATCCAAGAAAATGAAGTCAAGGTCATATAAACCAAACAAGAAATACATGTACACCTTACAATCATTCAATACACTAAATATAGTTGATCTATTGCTTCTAGTTTCTAAGAAACAGACTTTACCAAGAAAACTAAACATTGACCAATGAATCATGAAAATGAGGGCAAGGTCAGATGAACCATGCCAGGAAGATATGAACAGCTTACAATTCTTCCATACAACAAATATAGCTGACCTATTGCTTATAGTTTAAGAAAAACAGACCGAAACACATAAACTTAACACTGAGCAATGAACCGAGAAAATGAGGTCAAGGTCAAATAAAACCTGCGAGACTGACATGTACATCATAGAATATTTCCATACACCAAATATAGTAGACCTATTGCATAAAGTATAAGAAAAACGGACCAAAACACAAAAACTTAACTATTACCACTGAACCATGAAAATGAGGTCAAGGTCAGATGAAACCTTCCAGTTGAACATGTACACCTTACAATCCTTCCATACACCAAATATACTAGACCTATTGCTTATAGTATCTGAGATATGGACTTGACCACCAAAACTTAACCTTGTTCACTGATCCATGAAATAAGGTTGAGGTCAAGTGAAAACTGTCTGACGGGCATGAGGACCTTGATAGGTACGCACATACCAAATATAGTTATCCTATTACTTATAATAAGAGAGAAATTAACATTACAAAAAATCACAACTTTTTTTTCAAGTAGTCACTGAACCATGAAAATGAGGTCAAGGACAATGGACATGTGACAGACGGAAACTTTGTAACATAAGGCATCTATATACAGAGTATGAAGCATCCAGGTCTTCCACCTTCTAAAATATAAAGCTTTTAAGAAGTTAGCTAACGCCGCCGTAGCAGCCGAAAATCTAATTTTGCTCAGGGTGCTATTTCTTGATTATGAATTAGCTTCTGTTGAAGATCAAGGTTTAAAATGGTTATTTGTAATGATATGGCTCCCCTCAAACTAAGAGAGAAATGTTTTAGTACTATTCCTTCTTTTTATAATACCTAGTCAGACTGGAACAAAATTCCAACTTGATCTGTAACTTGTCATGATAAAGCTATATACTAATTATCAAATCAATATCTTAAACAAGAGTGCACACGCTGAAATGTGTCGCCTTCTTTACTAACCATTGATTTTATGTTGATAGTCCTAAATATAAAGCTTTACTACAAGTAACACATAAACTTAACATGATCCAAGAAAATGAGGTCAAGGTCAGATAAACCAAACGAGAAATACATGTACACCTTACAATCATTCAATAAACCAAACATAGTTGACCTATTGCTTATAGTTTCTAAGAAACAGTCTTAACCAAGAAAACTTAACATTGACCAATGAACCATGAAAATGAGGTCAAGGTCAAATGAACCATGCCAGACAGACATGTACACCTTACAATCAATTTATGCATTAAATATAGTTGACCTATTGCTTATAGTATCTAAGAAACAAACTTAACCATGAAAACTTAACATTGACCAATGAACCATGAAAATGAGGTCAAGGTCAGATGATACCTGCCAGACAGACATATACACCTTACAATCCTTCCATACAACAAATATAGTTGACCTATTGCATATAGTATTAGAAAAAAAGACCAAAAACTCAAAAACTTAACTTTGACCACTGAACCATGAAAATGAGGTCAAGGTCAGATGACACCTACCAGTTGGACATGTACACCTTACAATCATTCAATATACCAAATATAGTAGACCTACTGCTTATAGTATCTGATATATGGACTTGACCACGAAAACTTAACCTTGTTCACCGATCCATGAAATGAGGTCAAGGTCAAATGAAAATTGTCTGACGGGCATGAGGACCTTGCAAGGTACGCACATACTAAATATAGTTATCCTATTACTCATAATAAGAAAGAAATTAACATTACAAAAAATGTTGACTTTTTTTTCAAGTAGTCACAGAACCATGAAAATGAAGTCAAGGACAATGGACATATGACAGACGGAAACTTCGTAATATAAGGCATCTATATACAAAGTATGAAGCATCAAGGTCTTTTAGCTTCTAAAATATAAAGCTTTTAAGAAGTTAGCTAACGCCGCCGCCGCCGCCGCCGTATCACTATCCCTATGTCGAGCTTTCTGTGACAAAAGTCGCAGGCTCGACAAAAATGACCAACAAGCCTACCACTAAATTCTTCAAACAATTTACCAAAGAAAAGGAAAAAAATCCAAAATGTCATTTTGTCTTTTAACAAGAGTGCACAGGCTGAAATGTCTCACCTTCTTTACTAACCACTGATGTTGATAGTCCTAAATGAAAGCTTTACTACAACTATTACATAAACTTAACATGATCCAAGAAAATGAAGTCAAGGTCATATAAACCAAACAAGAAATACATGTACACCTTACAATCATTCAATACACTAAATATAGTTGATCTATTGCTTCTAGTTTCTAAGAAACAGACTTTACCAAGAAAACTAAACATTGACCAATGAATCATGAAAATGAGGGCAAGGTCAGATGAACCATGCCAGGAAGATATGAACAGCTTACAATTCTTCCATACAACAAATATAGCTGACCTATTGCTTATAGTTTAAGAAAAACAGACCGAAACACATAAACTTAACACTGAGCAATGAACCGAGAAAATGAGGTCAAGGTCAAATAAAACCTGCGAGACTGACATGTACATCATAGAATATTTCCATACACCAAATATAGTAGACCTATTGCATAAAGTATAAGAAAAACGGACCAAAACACAAAAACTTAACTATTACCACTGAACCATGAAAATGAGGTCAAGGTCAGATGAAACCTTCCAGTTGAACATGTACACCTTACAATCCTTCCATACACCAAATATACTAGACCTATTGCTTATAGTATCTGAGATATGGACTTGACCACCAAAACATAACCTTGTTCACTGATCCATGAAATAAGGTTGAGGTCAAGTGAAAACTGTCTGACGGACATGAGGACCTTGATAGGTATGCACATACCAAATATAGTTATCCTATTACTTATAATAAGAGAGAAATTAACATTACAAAAAATCACAACTTTTTTTTCAAGTAGTCACTGAACCATGAAAATGAGGTCAAGGACAATGGACATGTAACAGACGGAAACTTTGTAACATAAGGCATCTATATACAGAGTATGAAGCATCCAGGTCTTCCACCTTCTAAAATATAAAGCTTTTAAGAAGTTAGCTAACGCCGCCGTAGCAGCCGAAAATCTAATTTTGCTCAGGGTGCTATTTCTTGATTATGAATTAGCTTCTGTTGAAGATCAAGGTTTAAAATGGTTATTTGTAATGATATGGCTCCCCTCAAACTAAGAGAGAAATGTTTTAGTACTATTCCTTCTTTTTATAATACCTAGTCCAAATAATTATGACGTCTTGAAAGGCTATTTCAATTTTTTGGTGTGCATGATTGCCTTGCTATGAGGCCTTCCTACCAAGTAGGAAAGCATCACAGCAAAAAATTAAAATAGCTTTTCAAGAGGTCATTATTATTTGGACTATCAATCACCCTGAACTGATGTCATGTGACATTTTGTACTTATTATACTACATGTCAAAATGCCGATTTTTGATTGGTTAATACGAGGAAGACAATTTACTCTATCCTATGGTAAATACTCTATTACCCTTCAAGGAGACGCTTGTTCAAGTGTGCGCTTTATTAAATACGGATGGTTGTTATGTACAAGAGTTCAATGACCTGTAAATGAAAGAAAATTAAATCCGTTTGCACATTCTTTATACATAGGTGTGGTCAGAACGACGTCTCTCTCTGCAACTAAATTAAATAAACAGTCTTTCTGTGTATATCAATCAGCTTGGTGACGTCACAATCATGTCAACCATCCGGTGCAACGCCTGCTACCTACAATAAAATAGGGGTTTCCCCCTTTTCGGAAAGAATTAATCACATAGGTTAAATACAAAAGATCCATGCAGGTCAGGTTGGGCAAAAATTGAATACAATGCACACACAATAAGATCAACAAGTAAAAAATAAGACACAAATTCCGGGAAGCACTATAAAAAAAAATGAACATTTATAAAGGAAGATGCAAGGATATTTTTGAAGGCCTGTTTAAATCCTTGCATGTTCCTACAAATATCATAACTTGAATATAACTAAAATGTTGCACGGACCCGTTTTCGTGTGCTCCTAGAGCCTAGGTCTCAAGTGTTTGAACACGGGCACTAGGCTCTCAATGCCTTTTTCACGTGTTTCTAGAGGCTAGGTCTCAAGTGTTTAAACACAGGGACTAGGCTCTCAATGCCTTTATCACGTGTTCCTAGAGGCTAGGTCTCAAGTGTTTAAACACGGGCACTAGGCTGTCAATGCCTTTTTTACGTGTTCCTAGAGGCTAGGTCTCAAGTGTTTAAACACAAGCACTAGGCTCTAAATGCCTTTTTCACGTGTTCCTACAGGCTAGGTCTCGAGTGTTTAAACACGGGCACTAGGCTATCGATACCTTTTTCACGTGTTCCTAGAGGCTAGGTCTCAAGTGTTTAAACACGGGCACTAGGCTCTCAATGCCTTTATCACGTGTTCCTAGAGGCTAGGTCTCGAGTGTTGAAACACGGGCACTAGGCTCTCAATGCCTTTTTCACGTGTTCCTAGAGGCTAGGTCTCAAGCGTTTAAAAACGAGCACTAGGCTCTAAATGCCTTTTTCACGTGTTCCTAGAGGCTAGGTCTCGAGTGTCTAAACACAGGCACTAGGCTCTCAATGCTTTTTTCACGTGTTCCGTGTTTAAACACGGGCACTAGACTCTCAATTCCCTTTTTGCGTTGTCTATTGTCTATATATTAAAATCGAACATTCAGACAATTTTCTCAGGTTTCCCACACAAAGCATTTAAGGTGTAAACTAAAAGTTAAGAATTTTGCAAAAAAAAAATCCATGATCAGTTCAGCGATACAGGCCTACTTTATATGCATGATTATGTGTTTCATGACAACCCATAAAGGCCTATAACAAATTAAGTTTTCAAATAAAACACTTCCACAGTTCCACCGAATCCACCCCCATAATCCAGTAAATAATCTTTTTGTAATAAATGTAGGTAATTAATAATTAATATGATACATGTTTTTATAATCATAGTTGTATAAACCCATATGTTTATACATCTATGTTATAATGTACTTGAATGATAACTGTAAACTCACTGATGACAATGCAGCTCAGTGTTAAAGATAACTTGCATAACCAGTGGAACCTCTTTTAAAAAGACATGTTAGACTGACGTACCGAACCCCTCCCCCTTTGTCTTGTATTATGCAGCGATTTATAGTACTGAATTACCTCTTGTTCGGTCGGTTACAATTTCGAAAAAATACTTATTTGATTTGAATGTAACCTGAGACACAGTACTTTAACTCGTTATTTATCCTCTTCCCAGATGCAACATAATCGTGCTGCAAAAACAACTGGAAGGGGAGATAAGTAGATTTTTTATCATGTAAACGTGCTATGAATCGTACTTTTTTTTAAATCTTTAAATGGTACTGTGACTATGTTTCTTCGAAAAGCATGATGAAGCTAAATTAACTTAAATTGAACCACAAACAGATCCTTGAACAGCACCAATACCATTTGTGTTCATTTTGTTGTCTGTAGATCTACGATATGTGACTGATTGCGATTCGAGTACACCTTTATCCAAATACTTTTTTATTATGTCTCAAGTATTTTGAAGATATAATTCGTGTTCTTATTCGCACGAATAACAAAAATAAGATATTGACCTACCTGTGAATTTATAGGCTTTAAAACTATAAACAAACAGAAAAGACGGGTCCAAATCATTGTGGACACAATAATGAAACAGATATCTTAGTAATGTTCGTTTTTCAATATTCCATACTCAGCCAAAATTTATATCCTAAATGAAGATGAGAGTGGAATGTAACGGTTGAAGTTTAAACTGATTTCTTATTAAAACTGTTCTTCCCATATTTCCTCACGTGACCTCTAGTGAGCAGTGCTCAAATTTATGATTTGCCGCCATGATAACGACTACATTTCAAGTGAAAATGAAAATCCACCGTAGATTACTGAAAAAGAGTTTTAAACTGTTAAACTGCAAACGATGTAAAGAAAATGCTTTATTTTAAGATTTTAATAAGTGACATATGTTTCCGACTTCTACTTTTCAGTTTACAAGTGTGAAAGACCGATTCTTAGTAAACGACCCTCTTGTAGTCTGAAGATTCTGCCGTTCTTCTTTTTCGGTTACAGAAACCCATCAACGTATTGATTAACAATTTTTTTAGTTCGATATAATTATTACTTTCTGTTTGGTAATATATTTTTTATATTATTAATTTTTCTTTGTTTTTGATTAAAATCGAGAATGGAAATAGGGAATGTGTCAAAGAGACAACAATCCGACCAAAGAGCAGAACACAGCCAAAGGACACCAGTGGGTCTTCAACATAGCGAGAAAATCCCGCACCCGGAGGCGGGCTTCAGCTGGACCCTAAACAAAAATGTATACTGGTTCAATGAAAATGGACGTCACACTAAACTCCAAAGCATATAAATGAACTAAATTAAAAAAAAAACATATAAGACTATCAAAGGCCAAAGGGACTTGGGACAGACTCGAAAATGCGGCGGGGTTAAACATATTTTGTGAGATCTCAACCTTCCCCCTATACCTCTAGCTAATGTAGGATAAACAAACACACAGCAATACGCACAGTAAAACTAAGTATAAAAGAAGTTCGAGTCCGATGTCAGAATAGGTAACAAAAGAAAATAAGCAAAATGACAATGATACATAAATTAACAAAGGATTACTAACAGTTACTGACATGCCAGCTCCAGACCTCAATTAAACTGATTGAAAGATTATGTCTTCATCATATGAAAATCAAACACAATCCCTGCCGTTAGGGATTTAGTATCATACCATCATTAAATATATGAGAAGAACATAACCCGTATCATGCCAACAACTGGTTTTAGAATAAATGTGTTTATTTCCGATGCAAAGACCCTATGAGTGAATCAATAATAATAATAATAATAATAATAATAATAATAATAAATTCTTTATTTTCAGAAGGTAACACAGATAACAAAACAGTTAATCCACCCCATGGCCTTCTACATCTACATGATATATTTATACATATACAAAGATAAACAAAACAAACTACATGTGTAGAAGATCACATGTATAGTACAGATAGACCAATACCACTTACATGAAAAAAGTATGACTACAGTAAAGTTAACGCATTTTAACTACAAAAAAGTTCTCTTCTTGTATCTTTAAGAGATAAGATTGACAGTTTGCTTTAAAAATATTTACACTTTTATTTTCTTTCAAATTTAAAGGCAAAGAATTCCACAACAAGGTTCCAGAATACTTAAAGTTCGTTTACCATAATTAGTTCCATATCGTTGAACGAATATATTATTTTGGGTAGATGATCTTAATGCATATTTATTAACAGTCAGTTGAACAGCTTGAAAATAGTTCAACTAAATATTCAGGTGCTAGATTATTCATACACTTATATATCATCACTGCCATAATATATTTAATTCTATTATAAATGGTAAGCTATCCTAACTCTTTAAACATAATCGATGAAGAAATATCAAACCCTATATTCAAAATTATTCTTTCAGCCCACTTTTGTAACTTCTATAGCTTTTCAATATTAGTTTTTGAAGCATTTCCCTACACGGAACAGCAGAAATCCATGACTGAGAGTATATATCCATAATAATAAGGTTTAAGAGCACTTACAGGAAGATATGCTTTGAGTCTGCTCATAAGAATTAGACGCAGTCTGCTTACAAATACTGCACAGAGTTTGTCAATTTGATTTTCTCACGAAAGAGATTTATCTATGTGGATTCCTAGCAGTTTTTGGTTATGAACGACGTCTATTTTGTGTTCATCGTCAAATTTGATATTTAGTTCTGATTTAAAAGGATTTAGTCTATTAGAACGAATTAACATGACCTTAGTCTTATCACTATTCAATATTATATCATTACACCAATTCATAACATTACAAAAATCTACATTCATAAATACATTTAAATCTGTTACCGATTGAGATGACTTATATGAACTTGTATCATCAGCATAAAGCTCTGAAGAAACATTTTCAAGCACAAGTGATAAATCATTGATAAATATTATAAAAAGTAAAGGTCCTAATATGGAACCTTGTGGTACTCCTGATTGAACCTCTCGGAAATGAGATTCAATATCATTGATCATTACCTTCTGAAATCTTCCTGATAAATAAGATTTGAACCAATCAATAGCATGATCATCACAATGATACATTTTTAATTTTCTGAGTAAAATATTATGATTAACAATGTCAAATGCTTTTCTCAGTAAAGTCTAAAAAAAGTGCGCATGTTAAATTCCCTTTATCCATTTCACTTAGCCATTCATCAATTAATTTAAGTAGGGCAGTGTTACATGAATGTCTAATCTAAATCAATATTAATACCAAAATATGCAATCTTTAATGACCTGACAACAGTATCATAACTATATTCCTTCTGAATAAGTCTGTTTAAAGGTTTGATTAGCTTTTGAGGTGAATGTCGACATATTTGTGCTTTGTATAGAATATTACCATAAAAGATTGGATGTGAAATACCTGGAAAATGTGAAATACATTATAAACATGGATTTTTGAAATATGATGCAGACAGCTTAATATTGCCACTAATTACACTCTTTAATAACATTTTTGAGTCTGGTATATTTCCAGATATTTGGAATATTTCAACTATCTCTACTTTACATAAAAGCAGTTCCATCTATGACTGTATTAACTACCGTGGAATAAGTATCGGAAGCTGCTTATGAAAGCTATTTACCAAAATACTGCAATATAGAATATCTAATTACTCTGAAGAAAACAATTTAATTGGAGATAACCAAGCCGGTTTTAGGCAAGATTACAGAACTACAGATCAAATATTTATTTTGAAAACACTGTTAAAACCTATATTTGTATGTTTTGTTGACTTTTGTAAGTGCGTTTGATTCAGTTTGGAGAGAGGCTATGTAGTTCAAATTAAAAGAAATTGGAATAATAGGGAATATCTTTAATGTTATAAAAATTATGTATTCTAACACATTTTTCTGCATAAAAATGATAAAGGTGTAAAGCAAGGAGACAGTCTTAGCTCTACATTATTAATATTTGTTTGAATGGTTTAGGTAAATGCTATGACAAAGACAAATCCTATCCATTAGATCTAGGAAATCATAAAATCAATTATCTACTATTTGCAGCTGATCTGTTACTTTTATCAGAAAATAAAGAAGGTCTACAACATTGTCTTAACAAACTAAACTCCTACTGTATTACATGGAAATTACAAACTAACTTAAATAAAACCAAGATAATGATTTTTAGCAAAGGCAAAAAAGATTATTCAAAATATAATTTTTAACAAAATAATTTACAAATTGAAATTGTGGAAAGATACAAATATTTAGGCATTGTGTTTTATTTCAATGGTAATCTTAAACATGCCGTAGATGATATCTTTAATAAAGCTCTAAAAGCCTTTTACTTTGTTAATAGTAAATTTAATAACTTCAAAGAGGTACCATTGAAAAACTGTCTTAAACTTTTTGATAGTCTAATTAAACCTATTTTGACATATATGGTAGTAAAATATGGTTATCAGATTATGACATAAATTTAATTAATTTTGACAATCTACCAATTGATAAATTACAACACAAGATGTTGAAATCTATCCTTGGGGTCAAAAGACAGTCATCAAATATGGCTAGTAGACTTGAATGTAACAGGAGTCCAATGTTGATTTTCTCATTATGTTTAATGTATAATTATTATATGAGACTTCTTAAAAAAAATAGAGATAGCATATTATATAGTGCGTTTACTGCAGATCAAGAATTATCTCAAGAAAACTCAAAATGCTGGTTTTCTACCCTAAATAAAATATTTAAAGTACTCAAACTTGATACAAAAAAATTGACCGATAATAGTGTTTTTTTTAAATAGTCTAAGGTATTATAACCAGCAATCTGACTCACAACTACAAAAAATAAAATCTGGAGCTGTGGACAGTAAACTGATGCTTTTCAGTAATATTTTTGTTCCAAGTTTTGTTCCCGTCTATCTTGAAACCAATCTTACCAAAAATATAAAAAGTAAAATCATTCATACAAACAAAGCAAACAAGCCAACCAAACTTTTAAATTGCTAGCATTAGGATAACAGCTTTAAACTTGAGGTAGCCTTAATAGTGACAAATTATTCATGTTTTGTGTCAAAGGGTACCACTGTGTGGATATCTTTTTATTTTTTTTTTATTTGAGCAGTTGCTCACAGTATTTCTAGTTGATCATATAAATTCATTTAAAGCATGAAGACAAACAAAAAGGGCGACAGGCGTATCATGTGCTCATGGTGCAGCTCTTTATTAGTTATGTCAGAGGTTAATTTGTTCCAGTCTTTAATGGTTGACAAAAGAAAGAAAATTTGTAGCTGTTTTTATTACATTGAATTTGTCTGTAGTAGTCCGAGGGTATGGGTGGATCTTTTAGAAGACTGACTGCGATGGAATGGCAATATTTTTATTTACAATTTATGAAATATTATTAGCCTTGCTTTTAATATGTGTCCTTGTAATGTTTTCCAATTCATGGTGTCTAACATCTCAGACACACTACTGGTGTTTTGATGTCTGTTACGGACATAAAACATAATACATTAAACTGAGCACAGTTGATAAGGTTTCCTTCCTCGTTCATCTTTAAGGTTATGGTTACATGTTACAAAATACGACAAGATGTTGTTAGAATCTTACAGTACACTAATGAAACTGTGCAATACATACAGAACCCCTTTCCAGTCATTCATCCCTAACTTCTACTAAACTAATATGTTGTCAAGTATCTTTTCTTCCGAAACTGTGTGTGCATTTCTTTCTAACCAAAATTTTGTAAACGTTGTGTGCCGTTTGTTATCGTTTGCTTAACGCTACAAAAGTAGAAACAAATACAGCGTTTACTCAGTGTTTACTGACCCTGTTTGAACTTTCAATAATGCATGCAAATGTTGTTGGTAAACAGACTTATTACAAAAGTTGAAACAAACACATCGTATAATCAGGCTGAAGTTAGAAACAAATGTAGCGTTTGTACTAACAAACGATGAACGACAAACTGTAGACGCAGTTTTAGCGAGTGCATAGTTTGTCAAAGTTTAGGTAAACTTTGCAAACGTATGTTAGAAACAAATGATCAACACATGTGCGCGCTTAGCCGTTTGTATCGTTTGTGTTAGAAAGAAATGCACTCTGTACATGCAATCTTTGCCTCTTTATGCCTTAAACAAACGAACTTTGCCTGTCTCGAGCTGTGCGGGATTTAATCGTTATTTGATGATTGATATGTATAACTTTTTCTTCTTCTTTGTTATTCAGCTTTGTTTGTGTTTTTCCACTTTAGTGTCGAATGCCTATTTTCTTTCTCTCATAATAACTCAATTATTTAGAATTGGAATTTAAATCCTTCTGGGTTTTTTGTTGACATGTAGTTGACTCCCAATACATGTAGTTGGAGTAGTAGCTTTTGAATGACGATTTTTTACCAATTTTTAAGTGATTCTTCGGAAACTATAAATAATTGTAACTGGCAAAAATGTTAGCAAGATATAAACTTCAAATAAATTAAATGACCGAAATAGTCACTTGACCCCTTAAGGCTTTTAGGAGTTAATACCATTGAATTATAAAATAAGGAGTTGTGTATGATTGCCTATAAGACAACTATCCAACAGAGCCAAATGACGTAGACATACGCAACTATAGGTCACCGTTCGGCCTGCAACAATGAGCAAAACCCATACCGACAGTTAGCTATAAAAGGTCCCGACATGACAAATTGTTAAACATTCCAAAACGAGAAACCCTAACGGCCTGGATTAAGTACATAACAATGATAAACGAAACACATATGATGAACAGCAAAAAATGTCAACCACTGATTCGTATTTTTATACCAAGAAGAAATTATTCTTCACCAATGACATTAATTCTTTCGATGTTGGTATTTATGACTTCTACACTGATGAATTTTGGAGATTGATTTGTTCGTCTTTACGCGAAAATATGAATACCCCGATATCACAGAAACGCAGTACAATAGAACTCGAATATACTAATTTAACATTTATAAAATAAAGCTACGATTTAAAGTCTCCATTTAATCTATTTCAGCCAAGACAGTTTTGCCTGAGTTCTCCGAGGTCAACAAGAACTTGTTACTGTCTTTTAGAAATCTAATAATCCATGGTGATGTTATTCCGAGTGTTTCCGTAGGAATTATTCTGATTAACTTTCCACCTTTATTAAGTTGGTGAATATTGTTTGACATGCATCCGCAAATATAAATGTTTCTTTGAGAATCTAAGTCTATTCCTGCTGGTCTTGACAAACAATCACTACTATATTTGAAGACGCTTTTCCCTTTTCTTAAGCAAACAACATAATTTCCAGTCCCATAAATGTAGACATCCGTGCGAATGTAACAACAGAACCATGTATCATATGTTGATATTTGCCTAATTGTGGACCCAGACATGGAGTCTATTCTGCTGATTGCACAGTCTTGAGCAACGACAAATTCATCGTCCTGAAATGTTATACCATTAGCATAACAATCTATTTTAAGTTCAGTATGCACTTTGAGTGATTGTATGTTTGCCACCATTATAACCTTTTCTTCGAAAATTGTCACAGCAACATTTTCTGCGTCAACGACAGTTATATCACAAGGCAATCCAGTAAGCAATATTTCATTGATTTTCATTCCATCTGAATCAAATATTACGACCCTCTTGTTAATTTTGTCGCAAATTATTATTTTATTTCCCATAAGGACACCGCTTATGCACCTATGAGTAATTTTCTCAGTATCTAACACAATCGACAAAAGATGTTTGATTTCTCCTGAATGAAAATTTACTGACCGCCAAAAGAAGTCGTGTTTGTGAATACTGCCAAATGTTTGTAAAGACGTAAGCTGTTGAAGATATAGGTCCCTTTTGAGTGTTAGCCTGGAATTTCTCATTTCTTGAAGACGATCCGACAAAGATCTGTCTAATTCGAACTTTTGAGATAGGATTTTGTTAATCTCTAGAAAGCATTGTATTTCAGTACCTTGACTGTTACTTGTCTCTATTATACTAATCCAATTTTCGATCGTACTTTTTATACTAGACAAATGAGCCTGATCATCGTTTATTTGAAGATTCACTTCTTTCTTGACAACATTCAATTCTGACTGAATATTTGCCTGAATATCATCTAGGTGTTTTTCAATGTTAGATCTGATTTTCTTTATTTCTGTCAGTATGGACTCGACTTGACTTTCAAACACCGAACTAAATTTCTTCCTATGTATAAGTGCGTTATCAACTGCTTTGCTTTCTTCTGATAGTTCTTTCATCATGTCGTTGATTGTTGCCTTTTCCTTTATTCCCTGTGCAGCTGTTTCAATCGGAATGACACTGTCGCATTTTCGGTGATAAACGGCAGCACAAACTGTACAACAAGGCATAAGATGATCAGTGCAAATTATCTCTACGGGTTTTTCGGAATGAAGATTACAATATAAAGTCTTTCTATACCTAAAATCTTTTGGATTACGTTGGATGTCACGTATTAAAACAATCTTGTGTTTTGAAGAAACCTTAAATGATCTGTGAAAAGTGCTACATTGTGAACAGTATGCTTCTTCACAGTCCAAACACCATTCGTGCGCTACTTGTGCCTTTTGCTGAATATCACAAGAGCTACAATTTTTCGAAGATGTTAATATGTCTTTTTTGTCAATAAGTGAAAGGATTAACTGATTGTATGGTAGTTGCTGGCACCAGATTTTAGGTAAAGTTTCTTTTGTCGGCTTTTTCACAAAGTACCTACATATTGGACATAAAAACCCACCTTTTGAATAATCTTTTTCAAATGTAGACACAATATAAGTATGAATACATCCTTCACAAAATGTATGAAGACACGGTAAACATTTTGGATCCTTAAACGTCTCTAAACAAATAGTACATGTTAACTCGTCGTTTAGTTCTTCTGAAGTCGCCATATATATTTGATCTTACTTCCGGATTGAAGTCGATCAATGTCTTTTTGATGAACACAAATATAGATTGGTTTATGTAGTTAAAATGTGGTCGTGAACGACACGAATTATGGACATTACGTCATCATTACATGAAGTATGTTATATATAGCGCATTGCAAAGTCCGTAAATCTAATTGAAAAAAGCACATATAATTTCGATATGCTTATTACGAATAAGCAGGCCAAGATGGATCTTAAAGGGGCAATAGCTACGAGATATGAAAAAAAAATGATTTCGTTTGGTTCAATCATAAATAAAAGTGAAATAATGAAATAATAATTCGCTTTTAGCAGCCAATTTGGTTCAATTTTGTCAAAATAAGCAAAGAAACATCGCGGATGAATATTGCAATTTCCCTGACGCCTAAGGTTGCGATCATTTTGTTCTCCCAAAGCACTTGAATAAAATGGTTTATTGCCCACATTTTATTATCCCAAATATCTATAAGTAAAGAAAACACATAAGACAAAAGGTTTAATGAGCATACAGTTGTATAGCTTGTTCCAACAATCGGGGCGTATGACATTTGCGCCGATTTTATAAATTTTCAATCTTTCATTTGCGCCGATTTGGTTGTTTCATCTGCGCCTATTCATTAATTTCAAGTTCCATTTGCTCCTTTTTGCATTTTAGTTCTGTGCTTTTTTTCATGGCGTAAAGAGGTTTGATTGTCCTTTGATATTTTAAAGGCTGTAAATAGATTTTTATATCATTTGATATTTTATTGCTATACTCAGTTATTTTAGTGGCTGTAAACAGAGTGCTTTTAACCTTAAAATTGACTTGATTTGCTCGAAATCCTACTTTCACCTCCCCATAGTGGGCAGGGGGCAACAGTTATATGCATGTTTTAATTGATAATTCATAACATATGTATAACTGGCTAGGGGAAGAGGTTTATATTGATAAATAAAAATAGTTTTCACCTGTAATTTACCTGTAAAACAATCGGCGCAAATGAAAAAAATAATCGGCGCAAGTGAAAGAAAAAATCGGCGCAAGTGCAATGCAGATCGGCGCAAATGCAAAACGTCGTTTCATACCCGTAGACAGAGGGTTCGAGGGGTTCGTACGACCCCCCCCCCCCCCCCTTGAAAACAAATAAGCACTGTTAACTCGACGTTCTGTTTGAATTGTAACTGTTAAAGTTGAGTATGATTGTATCGAACCCCACACCAATATCTAATTAAGTTTTCTTTTTTTGCAAACACATAAATTTATATATAAATCAAATTTTTACATGCATTACATAAGGAAATGAATAAAGCACTATGGTAAATATAAGTAATATGGGGCACTATATGTATAATGATGAAAAATACAACATTTTCTATATTTTCAAAAGTCTCAAAACATTATACAAAGTCACAAAACATCACATTCACAAAGTCACAAATTACAATATTTCACAAAGTCATTCAGGTCAAATGAAGAAGATGAGCTGCTGCGTCAGAGTAGTCTATCACGTTCATGAGTCCTTGTTGGTTTCTGTCTTTCAGTAGTTGGAGTCTGGTGTCTATAACTCTGTATTGTCGTCTTTTTGAGGGGCGGGCCTCTCCTGCTGCATAATGGATAATGGTACATTTTGTTAGTGCCTGGGTCTTTTTAAGTAACTTGGTGATCTCGAAGATGTTGGGGTGGGCCTGTTTCAGTCTCTTCTTTATCATGTTGTGTCATCCTTCCAGGTGGTTGATGGTGCAGGGTCGTTCGGTGAAGTAGAGGTTCCATAAAAAGTGGAAAGAAGAAAATGTTAGCTTGGATGCAGATTATTGATCTAATTATTTCCTTTGCATATTGGCTATTTAACAGTTTCATAGGTGAAATTTATTTAGGTGAAAATATTAATATATACAAGTAAATAATATCATTTGAAATATACATATATTAAAATTGTAGTTCTTATTCATTGAAACAAAGCACCGAAAAGTACACTAAATTGACATTAAAACAGACACTAACACAGTAAAATATTGCACTAAATTGAACACAAAAGAGAAAACAAAGTCTTAATCAATGTGCAGTAGATGAGAAGCAGCATCCCCATACTGGACTCTTGTAAGTTCATCATTCTGTAACCTTGTTTTCAGTGTTCGAATATAGAAATAAGAAGATGTGGTATGATTGCAAATGAGACCAAATGACACAGAAATTAACAACTATAGGTCGACGTACGGCATTCAACAACGAGCAAAGCCCACACCGCATAGTCAGCTATAAAAGGCCCCGAAATGACAAATGTAAAACAATTCAAACGAGAAAACTAGCGGCCTAATTTATGTACAAAATAATGAATAAAAAACAAATATGTTACACAGCAACAAACGACAACCACTGAATTACAGGCTCCTGACTTGGGACAGGCACATACAGAATGTGGCGGGGTTAAACTCGTTTGAAGGCGCCAACCCTACCCTAACCTGGGACAGTGGTGTAACAGTACAACATAAGAACAAACTATAAAAATCAGTTGAAAAAGGTTTAACTCATCAGATGGATACAAATAGAAATATATCTAACAAAAACACAGTGTGGACGTGGACGGGTACTTATACATCCCCACAACAAAATGTACAGATCTGAGAGTACTCGCAGTTACTGACAGCTAGATCAAAGCCAATAACAACTAATGAAAAAAATCATGCATCTAAGACTAAAACATCAATCAGTACACATCCAACATCCAATGGATTTAGTGTAAAGACGTCATAAAGTCTGTCATCTATTTCTCTGTATTTTCTCTTTCTTGGAACACGTTTCCCACCGGCTCTGTATTGGATAAGTGTGAGAGCATGGAAGGCTTCTTCTTGTCTTAAGAACTTGATCATGCTGAAGATGTTTGGGTGAGGTGCATTGACTAACTTCTTCAGTTTACTATGCCAACTTTCTAAATGATTTGTTGTTCTAGTACCTTCTGTTTTTGTTTAAAAAATAATATGTCTTTCAAATAATGAAATTAATTAAATCTTTGAAGTTATAAAGTGTAGGTTACTATTAAATGCTTTACTACCTTTTCTTTTAAATAGTTTCTTTTCCAGACTTTTAAATGCTTTTACTACTTTTTCTTTTAAATAATTTTATTTTCCAGACTACTAAATGCTTTCACTACCTTTTCTTTTAAATAATTTTATTTTCAAGAAATTCCATATTACAAACACTTAATAATAACACTTGATACATGTTTTCAAACAAACAAAAAGACAACCATTTTTTTTACATAAATTTCATATAAATAATCATATTTATTGAATTTCTACAGGTAAAGTTTCCTGTGACCTAATTAGACATTAATGACTAAAACAACATATTTTGCAATAACAACATCTATTGTTCTTCCCATAATCTCCCATGTAGGAATAGCCAGAATAGTAAAATATAAAATGTAGGAATAGCCAGAAGACACCAAACAAATTACTGTAATTCAGAAATAAACTGTAATTGTTAAAACAACAAAACACCCTATGTTTTTATGAACCTGCAAAAAAAAAAAAAAAAAAATGGGCAAAAAGGGGAACAAACCATGGTTTGATAAGCAATGTTGGAATAAGAGAAAGATTTACAGGGGAGCAAAAAGAAATTATAACAGTAACAGATCAGAAGCAAAAAGGGAAGAAATGAAAAAGAAAGAACGGGAATATAAACGCCAGATGGATAAATCGATGAGGGAATATAGAAAAAAATTTCAAAAACATATGAAAAACCTGAGGACAAAAAATCCGAAGGAATATTGGAAAATTTTAAATAGGGGAGGGAAAAGAAATAAACCTAACATAGCATTAGATGTACTGTTTGACTTTTTCAAAAATTTAAATAACACCGATAATACAAATGACGTCACAACTGAGCCGAATAACATTCAAGGTGTAAATGAAGTTTTGAATTCAGAAATTCCCGCAGAAGAGATTAGCAAGAGTATACGAGAATTGAAAAACGGAAAGGCCAGTGGCGATGATTTAATAATCAATGAATTTATTAAAAGCACATCACACATTTTTGTACCCGTTCATGTGAAACTTTTTAATATGATTTTTGATTCTGGTACTTTACCTGAAATATGGCTTATGGGAAATATTATACCTTTTTATAAAAACAAGGGTGACCAATCTGATCCCCAAAATTATAGACCAATTACTATACTCAGCTGCCTGGGAAAACTTTTCACATCTGTCTTAAATTTTAGATTGAGTTCTTTCTTAGAGGATTATTTATTATTAAATGAAAACCAGGCTGGCTTCAGAAAAGGTTATTCCACAGTAGACAATATATTTGTTATTCACATATTATTTGAGTTGCTAAAGAGGAAAAAGAAGAAACTATATTGTGCATTCGTGGACTTTGCGAAAGCTTTTGATACTGTTTGGCGGTCTGGTCTCTGGTCAAAACTTATAAAACACTCGATTAACGGAAAGATGTATAACGTTATTGTCAATATGTACAATAATATCAAATCACGTATTCACTTTGGATCAGATTTTTCTGAATTTTTCCCTTGTTCCATTGGTGTTAGGCAGGGAGAGAATCTCTCTCCTTTGCTCTTTTCCATTTATCTAAACGATCTGGAATTGTTTTTACAGAATAATAATATAGAAGGTTTGTGCACTATCTCTGATGAGTTAGAAATAGAGTTAAATGTTTATTTAAAATTGTTTGTCATTTTATATGCTGACGATACTGTCTTAATGGCAGAATCTCAGATAGATTTACAAAGACAACTGGGCTCCTTATATGAATATTGTGAGTTATGGAAACTTAGAGTAAATGTGCAAAAAAGTAAGATTGTAGTTTTTTCACAAGGTAGACTACCGCAGAATATTGTTTTTAAGTATGATAATATAATACTAGATATTGTGAGTGAATTTACTTATCTTGGTGTATTACTGTCTAGGTCAGGAAATTTTTCAAGAGCTAAAAAAAAGCAATGTGAAAAAGCAACACATGCTATGTACGATATTATTCGAAAAGGTAGAG